CACCACCACCACCACCACCACCACCAGCACCACCACCACCAGTCACCACCACCAGCATCACCACCACCACCAGCATCACCACTACTACTACCACCACCACCACCACCACCACCAGCATCACCACCAACACCACCACCACTAACACCACCACCATCACCAGCATCACCACCACCACCAGTATCACCACCACCACCAGCATCACCACTACTACCACCACCACCACACCAGCATCACCACCACCACCAGTATCACCACCACCACCAGCATCACCACTACTACCACCACCATCACACCAGCATCACCACCAACACCACCACCACTAACACCACCTGCATCACCAGCATCACCACGAACACCCGCATCACCACCAACACCACCACGAACACCAGCATCACCAACATCACCAGCATCACTTACTCAACACTTTCTGTATTTGAACTGTTCTCGGTCAACTTTCTCTTCCTCGGCTTCGGTTCAGTTGGGCAGAAGAAGGAGGTGAAGATTCCAGCCAATGTTTTAGCAAAGGACCAGAGCGCCTTGTGGTAGTCAGCGTTGGACCAGGCGTAGGCGGGGAAGAAGAGAAGGAGGTGGACTCTATTGAAGTAATGCATGACATCTGTCACGATAAATGGTAAGTAATCTCGCTCTGGGTCCACAATGCGCACAACTGAGGGAAGATCGTCTGTAAGGAGAAGCGAGTGTTAGTTAGCCCCGCGTTGCTGTCGTCGACAGGAAGAAGACAATTTTACTCCTGTATCATCTAGCATGGAAACTTCTTTCCCCACGTCCACTTCTCACACACCAATAGAATAATGTGAATTATATTATTAATGTATTTAACATATAAGCAGTTTATCTGTTTTAAGATTTCCTTATATCTAGCGAAGTGTGCGGCGACCTTTAATACACACCTCGTCACATGTCCTGAAAGTTGTTAATTGAATGCCAGGCAGCGCACCTTAGTGCCGGCCACGCTGCCTCCTTGTGCATAATTTGTTCACTGTCAGACTCATACTCGTTTATCATAACCATTGGCTCAGTAAATATTTTATAATCACTATATTTGAGTGAAAAAAACCCTTGAGAACTTACATGTGGGAGAGAGAAGAAGGCGAGAGTGCTATAACTTTGAGAGCAGACTTTGCTGTCCTCCAGCGAACGAGTCGCTGTGTCTCGTCCATTGCGAGGGGACAAGCGCGGTTGTACTTGTGGAACTCGAGGGCGACGAGAACATACAAGACACAGGTGGCGAGGGCCCCCAGGGTGTAGGTGACGATGTAAGCAGCGAGGAAGGTGATGCTCAGATAATTGCCTCCTTTATGACATAGTGTTGGTAATTCCACACTGCATGGCAGCAATATCAGGAAGCAGGGGCGACCCAGCAGACGACACAGAGCAGGCGGCAGCGAACTTTCGTCAGAAGTCTGCTGTAGTCAAATGGCTTACAAATGGCTAGGTAGCGATCAAGGGCTAAGCAGACCAAATTCAAACAGGACACTGTGTGAAAATACCTCACGCTGACAGACAGCGCAAGGCAGGGCACAGTGGAACCTTGAGGAAACTTGGACACTATGAAGTACAGAGAAATGACGAAAGATATTAGACAGCACCCCAATGCTCCCAGAGAGACTATTGGTGAAGGTTGTCGAAGGTTTGCCTCTCAAACTCTCGTTTGTCTTGTTGATGAAGAGCGTGAGGACGCACTCACCTATGGTGAGGGAGCTGATTGTGAGGAAAACGAAGTTCTTGTTGATGGGCATGTTGCTGACGCAGTCACACCTGATCACGACTCACAGCGTAGTATAAGGTTCCATTTTGAAATTTGGAATGTAATAACAATCGTTTCCGTCAACTCAGACAGAAATAAACGGGAGATGTGCCTCAGATGTTATTATCAATCGTATTACTTTAATAAGATGGTCAAGTTAATAACAGTGCTGTCACTCGCTGCTCACTCTGTCACCGCCGCACTTACACTGCCACAGCGCCTCGTGTCTCCTGGGATCCCCTCCAGCCAGGACGTGCTTATATCGGCATGATATCACCGTAATAATTATATACACACACACACAGAGTATGTGTATGTATGTATGTATGTATGTATGTATGTATGTATGTATGTATGTATGTATGTATGTATGTATGTATGTATGTATGAGGGTTTAAATTGGATTGTTTGAGTGTTCCTAATGGCAAACTTTAAGGATATATTACCATTCTGTAAACCCTCATCTTACAAAAGGGTTTCTCAAGGTAAGAGAAGCACTATGAAAATAACTCAGCACTGATCTTGCTCACATCCAGTGACACACACCAAGACAGTCCTCACACACCGTGGCTGCTGTACAGCCGACACTATACTGTAGAGCTACACAACCCTGTATGACATGGTGCCAGATACTGCTCCTAATTTGCTTTATATATTAGTGAGGTGAAAAAGTTACTTTTGATTGACAATTCTGGCTGTTTACTTACAGGTGCTTCTTACGAGTGTGTCCCGCGGGTAAAACTGACCTGTAAGGATAATGTAAACACAGCCTACAGTGTCCGCGGCACCGCACTTCACCCCCATGATTGTCACAACCGTATAGTTAGGTACCGCGCACGGCTGGGTAGACTTGGAGTGCCTGAGACCGAACCAGAGACCCTTAGGGCAGGAGAATACTTATTATTTGTTGTCAACTAACCTAGAATACGGTATATATGTGTTTAAAGACTTCAGGTGATGAGCGCAGTAATGCATTCTATGATCATCGCTAGAGATATAGTGAGCAGCTTATTTACTATAGACTAAACGCTAAGACGCTGTTGAACTTCACTCATCCGGCGCTTAGTTCTCTATCCTATGTTATAATCATCATCATTACCATCATCATCATCATCATCATTATCATTATTATTATTATTATTATTATTATTACCTGGTGGTATTTTATCCACTCATTCACCTCTTTATTCATCATTAATGGGAAAATGTAACAGGTAAACTTTACAACACACAACAACAAAGGAATTATTTCAACGTTGTCTAAAATTCCTTCTTATCATTAACAGAGTTCTTATCTTATCTGCTCTCTCTCTCTCTCTCTCTCTCTCTCTCTCTCTCTCTCTCTCTCTCTCTCTCTTGTTGCTTCTCCTCTCTGGGTGTTGTTCAATATATTGTGACAGAGAGAGAGAGAGAAGAGAGTCTGAGAGGCAGACAAATAGACAGAGACAAAGAAACGGGCAGAAAGAGACAGAGAAAGACAGGCAAAGACAGAAAGACAGACAGAGAGAGGAAGAGACAGACAAAGACAGAAACAGGTAGAAAGTGACAAAAATAGACTTACAGAAAAGACAGAAAGACAAACAGAGTAAGACAGAGACAATGGCAGATAGACAGACAGATGCGTTAACGTATTTTATGTGTCTGTCTCTCTGTCTGTTTCTCCGTCTATTTTGCAGCAGCAGCAGGTAGACGTACAGTATATTCGGGAACTTGAGGACAGGATTAGCAGCAACGCCCCACTATACTATATCACAACCATCACCACTACTACCAACACTACCAACACTACCACCACTACCAACACTACCAACACTACCAACACTACCACCACTACTACCACTACCACCACTACTACCACTACTACTACCACCACTACTACCACTACTACCATCTCTACTACGAACACTACCAACACTACCACCACCACTACTACCACTACTACTACCACCACTACTACCACTACTACCCCATCTCTACTACGAACACTACCAACACCTACCAACACCAACACCACCAACACTACCACCACTCACTACCACTACCACCTCACCACCACCACTACTCACCACTACTACTACCACCACTACTCACCACTACTACCATCTCTAATCTGAACACTACCAACACTACCACCACTACTACTGTCACCACCTACTAGTACCACCACTCACCATCCCTACTCACCAACACCACCAACACTCACACCACACTATCACCACTACTACCACTACTACTGCCACCACCACTACTAGTGACCACTCCCACTACCACCACACTACTACCATCCCTATTACCAACACTACCAACACTACCACCACTACCAACACCACCAACACTACCACCACTACCACCACTACTACCACTACTACTACCACCACTACTACCATCCCTACTACCATCCCTACTACCAACACTACCACCACTACCACCACTACCACCACTACTACCACTACTACTACCACCACTACTAGTGCACCACAACTACCACCACTAGTACCCACCACTACCATCCCTACTACCAACACTACCAACACTACCACCACCATTACTACCACCCACCACTACCACCACCACCACTACCACCACTACCACCACTACTCACCACTACTACCATCCCTACTACCAACACTACCACCACTACTACCACTACTACTACCACCACTACTAGCACCACACAACTACCACCACTACTACCACTACTACCATCCCTACTACCAACACTACCAACACTACCACCACTACCACCACTACTACCACTACTACTTCACCACCACTACCACTACTACTACCATCCCTACTACCAACACTACCACCACCACTACCACCACTACTACCATTACTACCACCAATTACTAGTACCACAACTACCACCACTACTACCACTACTACCACTACTACCATCCCTACTACCAACACTACCACCACTACTACTACCACCACTACTAGTACCACCACTACCACCACTACTACCACTACTACAATCCCTACTACCAACACTACCAACACTACCACCACTACTACCATTACTACTACCAACACTACCAACACTACCACCACTACCACCACTACCACTACTACCATCCCTACTACCAACACTACCATCACTACTACCACTACTACCATCCCTACTACCAACACTACCAACACTACCACCACTACCACCACTACTACCACTACCACCATCCCTTCTACCAACACTACCACCACTACTACTACCACCACTACTAGTACCACCACTACCACCACTACTACCACTACTACCAACCCTACTACCAACACTACCACCACTACCACCACTACTACTACCACCCACTACTAGTACCATCACTCTTACACCACTACTACCACTACTACCACCACTACTACCACTACCACCATCCCTCTCTACCAACACTACCAACACCACCACTACCACCATTACTACCACTACTACTACCACCACTACTAGTACCACCACTACCACCACTACTATACCACCACTACCACCACTACTAGTACCACCACTACCACCACTACTACCACTACTACCATCCCTATTACCAACACTACCAACACTACCACCACTACCAACACTACCACCACTACCAACACTACCACCACTACCACACCTACCACATCACCACCACCACTACTATTACCACCACTACCACCACCACTACCACTACTACCATCCCTACTACCAACACTACCACCACTACTACTACCACCACTACTAGTACCACTACACCACCACCACCACTCACCACCACTCACTACCTCATCCCTACTACCAGCACCACCACTACCACCACTACTACTACCACCACTACTAGTACCACCACTACCACCACCACCACCACTACTACCACTACTACCATCCCTACTACCAACACTACCAACACTACCACCACTACTACTACCACCACTACTAGTACCACCACTACCACCACTACCACCACTACTACCACTACTACCATCTCTACTACCAACACTACCACCACTACCACCACTACCACCACTACTACCACTACTACCATCCCTACTACCAACACTATCAACAACAGCAAAGACAAGAAAACAAATATAATAATAATAATAATAATAATAATAATAATAATAATAATAATAATAATAATAATAATAATAATAATAAAGACTCTGCCAAATGCATCAAGTCTTCATCAGTTGGATTTTTTTCACGTTGACCAAAACGAAATTTCACTCCACAGTTGTTGTCTGGATAATAATAATCATAATAATAATATAAGTGAAAATATCAGAGACTTACTTTCTTGTCATATCGTATTGTATTCCCATAATTTATTCTACAACTTATACTTTATTCTTAGTAGGGATTTTTTTTATAATAATAATCTGTAAGTAGATTAAAATTATGGGGTACATATTTAAGGGAACAAGTACTCTGGGATTTTAGAGTACAGAATATGATCAGAGTCCATTTTACCATTTATTAATATTTTTGTCACCACCACTCTCATTATTATTATAACTATTGCTACTACCACCTCCACTATCACCATCACTATCACCATCACCATTATACTACTAGCAACACTATCACCACTATCACCATTACCACTTTTTGTAACCTTTGTACTTTGGTTTTTAAGAATATTCCTCATATTTAATTTTTATCATTGTCAATATTGAGATATATTCCATGTCCTAAATGGCAGAATACAAAAGTGATTGAGGTTAGGTTAGGTTAGGTTAGGTTAGGTTAGGTTAGGTTAGGTGGCTGGTATTATACCTCACTGGCAGCTGGTGGTAAACAACGGTAAAGAACAACACCAAAAAAGTGCTAATTTGACTCATGTGACCTTGACGAGAACGACTATAAGTATATCCTGTTTAGTAGCGACGGTGAACCTCTCCCTCCTCCTTCTCCTCTTTCTTCTCCTCCTTTTCCGCCTTCTTCTACTCCTTTCCTTTCGTCCCTTACCTCCTCTTCCATTCCTTACTCATTGTTTATCACCTTCCCTTTACCCCCTAACTTTATACACGGTAACTCCTCCTCTCCTTATTCTTTCTATTTCCCTCTTTTATCCCCTTATCTCCTCCCACCAGTCCCCCACTGCTGTCTATCCCTCATCTTATCCCCCTCTACCCTCCTCCATCCTCGTCCCTCACCCACACCCACCATCTCATCTCTACGCTAAGTGATTCTCGCCTCCGAGTTAACCGGCCCTAACCAGCACATACGCAAGGTGTGGCGCCAACCTACAGTATCTACCTGAATCTCCGTCGAGGAACTTAGTGTGTGTGTGTGTGTGTGTGTGTGTGTTGTGTGTGTGTTGTGTGTGTGTGTGTGTGTGTGTG